ATTAATATAATATTATACTAATTTAATTATAAGTAAATACAAATATCGAAATATATAATATAATTGAAATGATAAGGATTAACCTTTTGCATTTCTTAAACACCGAAATACATAATATGAAATACTTTTATAATACACTTATGAGTTTATAAAATTTATAAAACTAGATGACTTATTTTCTTTTTACAAATAGTCTTGAAGTATTAAATTATAATATTAATACAATATAGATTAGTTATGAATTAAAAATTCATGCACTTTTTTTAATATTAATATTTCACTTGCATATAAAGTAATTTTATTGATTTCGAAAAAAATTCGGACTATTTGAAACACGAACTTTTCAGGTTTAACTTTATATAACAATCTTAATTGTACGAATGCAAAAGATTAAAATCTATTAACGTGAAATAATTTGATTTTGTGTATTACGACAACAGGTGTATTGTTAGTTCTATTTTTTCTTCTTAATATTCATTTCAATAATATAACGTTAAGATTCATTTACAGAAATAAAACGTAATCGAGAGAGAAAGAGAGAGAGAGAGAAAAAAAAATATAAACGAATGAATGAATGAATAATGAACGAACGAACAGGTGGGGGTTCGCTGGTCGTACTCGATTTACGTTAATTGATTTCTAGTCAAGAAAACGGATGAAGACATACGATTGGATCGTGCACCAGGCTAGTGTTAGAACGTCATTTAAAAAATAAAAAGCACTTATGCACGCATTAAAAGCCTCGTCACGCACCGCTCGAAATATTTTACTTCTTGGAAAAACAAAAAACAAAAAAAGAAACAAAAAGAGAAAAAAAAGCCCCTCCTGCCCTGCCCTGCCCTGCCCTGTCCCCAACAAAAAGAAAAAAAAATCAAATCCAATCAATTTTGATTATCTTCGTTAATTCGTAATGAAGACAATCAAACGAAATTATTATAAATTATTTTTGATCTGCACTCGATGTAACAAACGCCAAAGCAAGAAAGTGCACCTTTTAAATATCTTTTACTTGTTGCATTCCATTTAATTTGTTTGCACTATCCATACACTGCACACTTTACATACACGCAAATTAAATGCAATTGAAAGCTATTTTTTATTTCTTTTAACTAACTTTTATCACTATACTTTATATTTGTGTGTTATTTATTTTTTTTTTGTTTTTTTCCTATTGTTTTACTTTCTCACTATTTTTCTTTATTACTTTCGCTTTTGCTTCGTATAATATTTATTTACAAATAACAATAATTCTATACACATATATTTTCATTTTCAATTGGTCAATACTGCAACTTTTCCTTCTTCTTCTTCTTCTTTTAAACTTACTTTTTCACTACAAGGGCTTATAAAAAGAAAACAAAGTTTTCTACCACAAGTAGTATATATATATATATATATACGTTTGAGTTTGAAGCGGATTATAATAAAAACTGTTAACAAAAAATTCAATGACGAATACGTAATCTGTGTTTTAAAAAGGAAACGAGGATAAAAAAATAATGCAAAGATGGATGCGTCGCATAGAATTGATTCGGCAGAAATTAACGATAAGAGGGGGTGGGCGGGTGGGGTGTTGAGAAAAAGAAAATAGATTTTTGTGGGAGTATTTTTAATATGAACATAAGCTTGATAAGGGGAAAGTACAATTTGTGTCTTCGGATAAAACATTGTAATATTACATTAACAATTAAATCTTTGATTTATTTTCCTTTCGAACGGACGAATAAAAGCACCACGCGTATATACACGTACGCCTATTGTTATCAATTTATATTGTTATATCGATTTTTTATACATTGTTATTAAAAAAAAGAAAAAACATTATAAGTTTTTAATAAGAAGGGGCTATCATAGGGAATTTGGACATCAACAAAATAATGATAACGGATTAATACTTAACAAAGTGTAGATGTTTTGTGTTTTGAATATTAAAAATAAAAATAAAAATGTATGTCTACTTAAAGAGAAAAAAGACAGTTGAACTTTAAAGATTAAGTTGCTGAAGAAGGTCCGTCCCAATAAAGGAACGAAACGTTCAACTTATCAAAATTAAGTTCTACTTCTTTTTTAAGAATTTACCCCTTCTTATTAAGAATTTTATTTTTCGACTAGAGAAACACAACTGATTAAATTATAAGTTTTTTTTTTCGTATTATTTTTATTTCTTTTTTTTTTTTTCAACAGATTATACTGACCGACCACGTACTCGTGCTGCTGGTAGTTCACCACCTGTTTATGGAATAGTTCATACGGTACCCCCAAGGGGTAGATTACGTAGCGGTCAAATACCCCATCGAAGTAAGGCATTTGAAGACGTTGCATATATGTATGGGAGAATAAATTTACATCCACCCCGACGCCAAGGGCCAACTTCCCGTAATAGCGGTGGTGGATCCCCGCTCATATCTCATGTTCCCCAAGCTGGTAGTTTTCAACATTTACGAGATATAATTCGTGGGGATAGGGCTCGTGAACTGAGGGTTTGTATAAGTCGAATTTTATCTTCAATAAAATAAAAATATATAGGAATAGTAAAAAAAAAGAAAAAAAAAAGCCCAGATAAACGTACAAACTTTCATGTAAGAAACATAAATAATTATCCAATTAATTGTGTGATTGACGAATATATTTGTAATAGATAAATGAGGGGTGGGGGGTAAGAGAAACATTTTATATATATAACGTTTCATTTTTACAACACAATTTAGGTATAAACTTTTTAAAAACTTATCGTCATAATTAATTGTTTAAATAATGAACGGTAATTATTTTTTGTTACGTGACGTGTGATAATCGTCGATAACTAATTAATTAATTAATTCTCGGAATAATTTAATTAATAATTTATACGAGTTTTATATATGATAAATGTGTGTGTATATTTTTGGTTCATGTGTATAATAAAAATTTGGTCATTTTGTTTTTTTCTGTTCAATCATTTCAGAAGCAATACGCATCTGACAGAATCGCATCTGCGAAAGCGACGACAATCAAGGATTATCCTAACATCGATCAAGATGATTATCAAAATGTACAACGACCGCGAAAACATTATGCTAATTCGTTAGATGGATATCAATCATTTAGAAATCCGAAAAGTGATATCAGCCGGGCTTGGTCGGTAAGTTAAAATCATTTCTTTTTTATTCTTCATTATTATAATATTCTATGCAAACAAGAACATATATATATATATATATATATATATATACAGGGTGTCCTACATAACTCTAGTCACGATTTTTCAAGTATTTGAGATAACCTGACAAAAAAATACTTTAAACAAAAGTTGATCTATTAGAAAATGATCTAATAGAAAAATGATCGAAAAAAATTTCTTTTTTATTGTTTTGTAAGGCTACCTTAATTTATTTAAATAGTACCTAGATTAATTTTGACTTAACAATACATTTTCTACAAGTTAACATTAAACTGCGATTTGCTCTCATGAATATACTTTTAATATTTTTTATACTAAAAGTGAATAGATTTTAATGATTTTTATATTAAATTAAAGTACACACTTTTTACTACGCGTAGAATACTTTGTCGAGATATAAATCGATCTGCAAAGGTTCATAAAATGTTAGAGAATGCAATCCTGTAAATTGTACAACTTTGCAATTTCTTTGAAAAGTTTCGGTAAATATTTGTTATACTTTTAGCAAACGGATTTTAATGATTTTTATATTAAATTAAAGTACACACTTTTTACTACGCGTAGAATACCTTTTTGAGTTATAAATCGATTTGCAAAGGTTCATAA